AAGCTATGTAATGAAAATACTGATGTATTGCTGCATATAATTTTCATATTCCATCACATATTATTACAAAAATTAATTTGTAACTATTCTAATAAGGACAATCATTTAAAAGATTAAAGTAATACATACTCATTGACAAAAAGTTTGAAAATGTAGATAAATCAAAAAGTGGCATATCACTATAATCATAACACCCAGTTTCTTTTAGATATTTTTATTGGCTTCTAGTCCTTTTTATATAATTGTGTATTTATATACTTTCTTTTTGCAAAAAAAAATAGGATCCCACTTTATATAGTGTTTAGTAATCTGTCTTTTACCACTTAACAAGGTAGGGCAAACATTCTTGTATAATATTATGTTAATGACTACACCAAGTGATAATTTATTTCACAGATTTCCATTGTGGCACATTTAGGTTCTTTTCAGCCATTTACTATTATAAACAACGTATCAATGAACATCTTTCTTGCTATAATTTTTTGCACCTCCATGATTATTTCCATAGGATAGATTCATAAAAGTGAAACATTCGTAATGTTTCAAAGTTATGTATGTTTTCAAGCCTTTTGGAAAAAAAAAATTATCAGGTAGCAAAAGCTAAGAACCAGTCCACTTGAATAACTACTAGGTATTTCCACATAGAAAAGTACATGAGAAAGCATACCAGATTAGAGCAATAAGACCAGTGTGGAATTTCTTCCTCTTCCACCAACAATTCCTAAGACTCAGCTGTTGTAGTCTTGTTATCATTAACCAGGGTGGACACAGGAAAAGATGAGAGAGATATGTGCTATCAGCAGTTTATGTAAAAAAGGCCTCAAGGGCTTGGTCCATAAGCTCAGTAAGAGCTGGTGTGAAGTGATGACTTTGAGATATACACACATATCACACACACACCTATGTACACACAGATATACACACACATATGTGTGTGTGTGTCTCTACACTTAGCACAACCTTAGACTAAGTTAACAGAAACACACCCAAATTAAATAACAGAATAAACTAATATTCTTATTACCATATTTAGAATAGCACATTTGATTCGACATGGTATATTCAATGATCAGGACACTTGTTTTTTTTTTGGCTTCCCATCCCTTCAGTTTCAAGCTCTGCTGATATAAAGGCCTTAGATCTCAGGTGAGGGGTGGTCTCACATAGACACAACAATGGTTTCACTGACCTGAAAGTCGAAAGACTCATTTTTGGCTCTTCAGACCACTGAACCAAGAAGAAAGAAGCAGGTTATTATGCAGCTCTGGGTATTGACTGCCATGATCAAGGGGAGATCAAATCTGGGAGCGTGTTGCAGGTAGCAGGGTCTTGGGTTGCAATCCAGGGAGTTCCGAGCGGTGCTATTTCAGTTTCACCGGGGCACTTGCAGCACACTAACTAAGGCAGGACCCCTGAGGACTCGCACACTGTGGGAGGGAAGATTTGGTGCACACTATCAGGGAAGGAATCCTGTGTGACCGATATGCTGGCCAAGGGCAGAGGGAACACAGAAAAAGAATAGAAGAGGCACCGTGTGAGTATAAACTGCAGCCTTGTGAGAAAATACAGAAACAAAGACTATAGCAGCTGCACATAGTTCCTTTGCTTTGTTTGTATCTGTGTCTATTAACCAATGATTTATTTTATCCTCTCTTCTCTCCTATGTCAGAAATACTAGTGATGATTACTTTTATTCATAGAAAATTCAGATGGAAGAAATATTAAGATCACTTAGAGATGGAAATGATGATTGATGAAAACTTGTGCCTTTCTTTTGGGAGAGTGACAAGCATCTTCAATATTTAAAGGGTATTTGTGTGGTATTGTTATTGTCTCTGGAAGTTTCAATGCAGACTGAAGGGTGAGAATAAATGCTGAATAGACAAAGGGTGGGTTTTGTCTGTGGCTCATACTGAGCTCCCTTCTTGCCCTCCTGTAACTTACTCTGTAGTTCTGAGAACACTGTATTTCCTAGATGTTCCTGGAAGCCACCTCCTCACCATGGAGCATGGAAACATTGGAGAAGCTCTATCTTTCTCTGCTTCCTACTGGGCCTCAGCAGTGACAGATGCGGCTGCAGAGGTGGTGCAGTCCACATCGCTGCTGCCCTCCTTGGCAGCACCGTGCAGAAGCATCAGTGCAGGTTCTCAGCGGCCTCAGCAGGGCAGTGGTCATGGGCTCCCAGTTACACTTTTCCTCTTTTGGCTCCTTCATCCATAAGAGTGAGAATTGCTTCCTGTAGTTATTAATCTCTAAATTTTCATTTTTAAAAAAGATTTATTTATTTATTTATTTTTAGAGAGAGGGGAAGGGAGAGAGAAAAGGAGGGAGAGAAACATCGATGTGTGAGAGATACATTGATTGGCTGCCTCTTGCACACCCCCAACTGAGGACCTGGCCTGCAACCCAGGCATGTGCCCTGACTGGGAATCGAACCAGTGACCTTTCGGTTTGCAGGCTGGCATTCAATCCACTGAGCCACACCACCCAGGACACATTTTCATTTTTTCCCTCTCTTCCAGCCTTTCCAATCCTTTGGTAATCAGTTTCCAGTATTAAATTCCATCTGTTTGAAATACCTAGTGGGGTTCTCTTTCTCCATAAGGACAACCACTGATGCAGAGAACCCATGGCCCAGCCTTTGAAAAAGAAATATGGATGGAGAAGGAAGAAGATGATCATTGTTGGCCAGAAACAAAATGAAGAAATCATGTAACAAGATGTCAGGGACAGTATAGGGAACTGTTCCTCATGGCATAGGAAATGTAGCCCAGCCCCCACTCAGAAAGGCCAGTGGGGAGTGAGGTCAGGTGCACAGGACCCATGCCCACAGATAAGTTCTCTTATGGAGAGTCAGGCCTGCATTGTACCTGGGCTGCTTTGAGGTTTGCTTTTGCTGAAACTCCCTCACCCTGAATTGAGGTAGCAAATATTTACTGCATATCTTTAAAGTAACTTCCTAAAATCTATGCTAAACCTTCTAAGGAGGAGTGTTGGTTACAAGTTCAACCACTTTTCCCTTTGCATTTGCAAATATCCTTCTTCTGTGATGTAATTAGCAGCATCCTCTCCTTTGTTTTCTGTAAAAGGTAACCACCTGAAGTGAACCTGTGCATAGTAAATGAGGACCATAATGTAATGTGCCCAGAAAAGCAATAAAAGCCTGTCCAGGCAGGGGTTGCAGCCCTCTCTCACTCAGAGAGCAGCCATGCCTTCCCTTTTTCTCCACAGAACTTGTGTAGTCCGTGTGAATTTGTTTTCTGCAGCCACAATACATGGACCTCATGGGCCAGGGCCCTCATCAGGACAGCATGCTATGATTTCTGATGTTAACAACTTCAGGTGGTGATAGGGTCCAGAGTATGGACTTGGAAACAGTGGCTCAGGTAAAGTGCAAGTGTAGTGAAGTGAAAGCTTTTGGAATTGATGCGATCTTTTAACTGGGATGTGATGATGCCATCTGGTTCATTCAAATGGCTTGAAATAAGGAACGATGATGCCAGGATATGAGACAGGGAGAAAGATGAGGACATGTCAGGCTGTCTTCTCACATAAGGTAATATTTTTATTAGAGAAATGCATGTTAATGGTTAAGACAGGGCACTCGTAATGACATGAATGATCCCCCCCTTTTCTAACCACGGACAAATGCTTGATGGAAATGTCGGGGATTGCTCAGCCTCCCGTCTCAGGCAATAGCCTTAGAGCTGCAGGCGGTGAGTTAGCATAATCACGCATGTTTGCCTTTGTCAGCATACTGGACTCTTACATTCCTCTCTAGGGTATATAAAATAAAAACAATGTTTGCCCTTGGCTGAAGTCATTGCAGCTCTTTTCAAAAAACCCTGTATTGCAAACACAAAAGAAAAAGAAATATCACAAGGCCCAAGTTTAATGGTTCGGTAAGTGCGGTATAATTAGCAATATACACTTTCAGAACCACAGGAAACTATCCTTAGTGAATAATGAAATTAAGAAGATTAAGAACCTATTTATACCTTACCCTAAATTGCTGTCAGAATAACTATTTTACAGTCTTTTTATTTATTAGATTTCTTAATTTCTCATTTGCTGAAATCTTTGCAGTGGCGGTGCAGTTGGTATTACCTGGTATTTTCCTTCCAGAAACACAAACGGCACCAACACATTAATTTGGTACCAAAAGAACAGAATTTGTGTCTGTATTATGCTGTTAAGAAGCCAACACTAATTTACCTGTTAGCTGGATTGGTCAGGGAAGTGTTTTTTATCATATTTATACCCTCTGTAACTTAGTTATGTCCACAGAACAGTCCCTCCAGACAGAATTAATTAGAATTGGTATTTGGCCCTGGAGTGTGGTTTGCTGTTTCCCTGTGTAATTAATGCATCGTTGCGAATCCCCTTAGTGCTGTTGTGTCGACTCCATCTCTGCCTGCTAGAGAAAACCACTGCATTTAGTCACAATTTCTCTGCACTATCGCAAGTTTTATTTTCAACTGCTAACTACCTACCGCCCAGAGTCTACTAAATTCAGCAAGTTATAATTTTTATGTAGGCTAAAAAGGATGGTAGGCCACAGTCTGGGGAATGAATATTTTATGATGAAAATTTTATCTCCCCAAAGGTTTTTACATTTAACTGTAAGTTACTTGCTGCAATACTGATTTGTAACTTTAGCCACTAAGGACAATTTTAAAAGATTTTACCAAAATTACAAAGTAGTCTCAGTTGTGTACTGTAATCCATTGTCCATTCTTGCATTGCAGTTTTTCTGGATTTGCCTTTTGGATGGCTGTTGTATAAGCTCTCTCAAAACTTGTTACTCAGGGGATGCCAGACAGCTCTCTGGGAGCCTTGGCCACCTGGCTTGAGCACAGACAGAACAAAGGGCGGTGGGATAGAAGCGTTACTACTTGTTGCCGGTTCTTACCAAAGCCACAACTACGCAGAGAGGCAGGCAAATACAGACATGTAGAAAATATTTTTTTCCAAAATAAAAATATCTTTATTATGTTCAGATAATAAAAATGATACATGCTCATTATAATAATTTCAAATACATAAAATTCTAAAGAAAGTAAAGATCACCCAAATACCACAGCCCAGAAAAAAAATCATTAACCTTTTGGCAAAGTTCTCTCTATGAAACTCATAATATCATAAAGTATCCAGTGTTACGAATGAGCCCATATTAAACATGCTATTCTGGAATCTGACTTTTCATTCAATAATATTTCAGGGACAAATTTCCATACCAATAAAGATCTAAATAATCTTTCATGACAGTTGCATACAAGTCAATGTTATATTTGTACTATAATTTATGTAACCCATCTTTTATTGAAAGACATTTAGGCTGTTTCCAATATTTTAATATTATAAACATCATAAAGTACATCTTTGCCATCTTGTTTAGAGAGGTATGTAATTTTATTTATTAGGATGAATACTTAAATTGCTGGGTAAAAGTGTATCATTTCAATTTTTGATACATATTGCCAAATTTGATACATGCCGCTCTCTTAGAAAAGTGCCAATTTTCACACCAGCCACGGTGAACAAGAATGTCTATTTGCCTATGTTCTTGTCAACTGCTTCAATATCTGCCAATCTGGGAGGGTAAAATGAACACTAATAAAATAATGAACACACATATTATCAGCCATTTTTTAAATTTTCAAATAGAAGATACTTTAAATTTTTAAGTTAAAAATTTCAGAGCAGATATTTCCTGCAATTGAATAAAAAGTGTTCAGTTTGGTACCCATTCCAGCATCAGTGTGACTCAGGATAAGAGTCAAGTTCTTTGAGATCATTTCCCTTGATCTATGGTGACAGCAACCAGCTCGACAGGTACTTATAGCTTAAATATGCACGTGCACCTGCCCACTGTGGCAGGTAAGCTATTTCTCCCTTCTTACCCCCATTCCACTCAATGTTGATCTACAAGAAAATTTTAAAATTAAGAAGCAAATGAAAAACTATGAAAATACTTATAGAAATATTGTTGTTTATATAGATGACCACGAAGTTTGCAATGAGGCAGATGACATCAATTAGAAGGCTCACATGTGAAGGTTTGGGAGGTAATGTTGATCTTTTAAAATGAAAATGCCTCCCAAGAAAATACTTGCATGTCAAATCCAATAGACCATCAAATATCTATAATTTGGGACAGATAGATGGAAACAAAATACAACAAATGTTGGTTTATTACCTGTCAAATGTTGGTTTATCATTGCTTAGACACAATGTGGGAATACTTCTTACCATGAAGCACACCAGCAAGCAATGTACACAATGCCTAATTCCTTTTTTAAAATATATCTCATATATTAATGTTTGCAGTTAGTAACTTCTATCCAAGAATGATGAACTGGAGCTATTTAAGCAAATGATTGATGATAGTACAGGTATCAGGAAGACAAATTTGGGTACAATTAGATGTTAGAATTGATACACTAGATACCAATGATTTTGAAGATGCTTCCTAGGACTATTTGATTCATTCACTTCATAAATATTGTGGGGTCATATTATGCACCAAGCACTGTACTAGCTGTTGGGGGCACAAAATGAACAGGATATAACCTGTGTCCCCAGGGAAGCATCCATGTTGTGGAGGAGAGGGAAGAAGCCAACCATAATTCCATTATGGACCGATAGTGAGGTAAGGTATGCGCAGGTGTTTCAGATGACATAGATGAAGCCTGCTGAGATGCCACCTTGGCAAATAAATGCCCTGAAAAAAATTACTGGTCAACGGGAGAATAGGATCTGTCATATTTGCCACCGAGCATGCCATAGACTGCTTGTGCACTAATAGCAAAGTGATGGCTGCCAGGGGGATATCAGCTATCCCATACAACAAGGAGAGAACCTCTCGGAACCCCCACACGAGAGCTGGTGGAGGAGCCAGGATCTGTATCCAGACGACACTGAGATGGCAGCTTGTAGAGAGCTGCCAGTTAATGTTAGAACTGTGATGACAACCCTCCCAGTGTTTCTGTTCACCCACTCATTCCTTCAGTCAGTCAGTCAAGTGCACAATCCATGAAGGCAGGGTGTTTGGTGGGGTTTGGTCTTCATCATCCCCTCAGGTCCTAGAACAGTACCTGATGCAAAGGAGGCTGTTAGTAAATATTTACTCAATGAACAAATGGATGGATGAATTCACATTATTTACATTAAACGACTGCATTGGCATGGCACTGCATCAGACAAGCAGGGCAGTGATAAAGGCAGAAGATATGGCAAGGCTTGTGTGCTTACTGAAAGTTTGTGGGATCAGCAAAGGACTTTTCACATTCATGCCTTCTCACAGGACAAGAACATTGGGCTTTGAAGTCAGGCAGATGTGGGTTCAATTCCTGGCTCTTCCAGATCTGGGAGGACCTCAGGGAAATTCCTTAACCTCCTTGAGTCATTTTTCTCATTTATAACATGGGGTTCATACCTTCTGGTAGTTGTGATGGACAAATAGGAAAAAACATGCAAAAATCTGGACCTAGTTCCCCTTGTCCTCACCCCATTCTTCCAACCCCAGAGGTGGGGGTGTGCACAGCTCTGGTAGAACTGTGGCCCCCAATTCTCTGGAGAGCCTTCTTGGAGCACTTTTTGGTCACTCTTTTCTATTTCTCATATTCCCGTCTGTCTTCCAGCAAGCTTCTCTAAGAGGTGTTCTTCCCCCACTCAAAAGAGCATAGTTATCGCTGCCCCCCTCCTTTTCACCTTTACTTTTAGTCCCATTGGTTGAGGGTTCAAATAACAGATGTCACCCAACTATTTACTGGAGTCCATGCCTTTTCTTCCTTACTTGGTATCCTAGTAATCGATACACTGCCTTGGTTCTGGTAGATGCTTAGTAAATACTATTCAGGATAACCCTCACCTCTGTACTCACCATAGTCAGGTCACAAAAGTTGTTTTACACAGGCTGATGTACTACCGTATAAAACTACTATTATGCAGTGAGTCACGGATCACTATAACAATTCTCAAGAAGTCAATAAAATTGACTATGTCAGAAATCGCATACCTATTTTCAAAAACAATGAAATATTTTGGGGCATCATGAAATGCTACAAGAACTCTAACAACTAAACAGAGCCTGCCTGGAGGATTGCTTGTGGTGCGTTATATGGATGAAGATGAGTGGATTCTTGACTATTCATGTTTGCTGATCAGAGGGAACACTTACTTGGAGGCTCATTCTTGGTTTCTTATTCCACACATCATGAAGCTGTGAGGTATCTCTTACTGCCCATCACAGAATGCCAGACTTAATTACTATAATCAACATTTTTTAATGTACCCACTAGAAGGCAAATCGAGTCAGGAGGACTGGATCACTCAGTAGAAAATTTTGGGTCCATCTGCTTACCATATCATTAGTCAGCTTATCGCCAGCTAATCTGATTTGGTCCTTCAGATGTCCAAAATACTCACCCTCACCCCCCAGCAAGGTGATCTAATAAAAAAGATCAGAGGTTAACCATATTGCAGGAATATAAAGAAATGATGCCTCTTTCAAAAAACGTGCAGCCTAGTTGGAAAGGTAGCATCTACTGACCTGGAACACTCTGAGAACATTGTAGTGCAATGGTTGGCAGAGTGGCCCCAGCATTACCTGGGAACTTGTTACAAAGCCCAATTTCTAACCCCGGAACTACTGCATCCGAAGCTGGGTGGGCCCAGCAATCTGGGCTTTTAACAAGCCTTCCACTTCATTCTGATGCACATTAAAGTTTAAAGAACAATGCTTTAAGTCAAATAAGCAGATTCAAATCAACAGATCACACACGTGCCGAGTGATGGTGCAGGCCCGGTGTTAATCAGAGCTTTCTTACCGACCTCTCACTGAAGGTACTTCCAGACAACACTTATAAAACAAGCTAAATCAGCCTCAGAATGGTTTGTAATATATTAAGCCAACTGCCAAAGGCTTTTACTGTTTCCTTTCATTAACATGAATAATCAAGCGTTGCCAACTAGGACAGGTCAGAAGAATTAAAATCCTGTGAAGTCAAGTCCAAACCTCTTCCCCTACTAGTCTTAGCACACGGGCCATTTGGGAGCACTGTGAAGACATACATCCTGCTCAGGTGGGGAAGACAGCACCCCACAGCCAGGCCCCCTGCAGACCTGCCTGTGAGCGTGGCCTCTCCTAACTGCTTACCTGGGGCTTTTGGGGGCCTGTCAGACTAAGGCTTACTGTGTTTTGAACCTCACTTTCTGTCATGAGGTCGTTTTCCCCCAGAATTGTATATAGTTCCACGTTTCTGACCTTGGTCTGCTAACCAGACCCTAATTCCTGATGACTTCTTTCTCTGATTAGTTGTTCTTGAATGCAGCTTCCAATCGGACTATGATGACCGCCCCCTCCCCAGTGGCATGTACCTATTCCTCTGATGCACAGACAGCTAGAGGTCTTACCTTGTATTGTGAATACCCTGAAGAGGGAGATTCTGTAAATCCTCTGGAAATGGTTTTCTTGGAGTATTTCAGCCCACCATCATACACACAATCATTATCCTCACTTCATTTACTCAGCAATGTTTACTGTAGCTGAATTTTTGATTACGTGAGTTCATGGAGGCACTTCACTTCAACTTGTAAGGAAACACTTGCTGTGTACAGGATAACATGCTAGGCCTTGAAGAGGTGGCCCAAACACACTCAGGAAATGTGACAGAGTTATGCCCCTCTGCCAAAGATGTTCATGTCCTATTCCCGGAAAACTGTGACTATATTACTTTACAAGAGAAAAGGGACATTTGCAGATGTGATTAAATTAAAGATCTTGGGATACAGAGATTTTCTTGGGTTTTCTGAGTGGGCCAATGCAATCACCAGGATCATGGTAAGAGAGAGGCAGGAGGGCCAAGGTACGAGAAAGAGGTGATAAAGAAGTCAGAGAGAAAGAGGGGGATCTAGATTCAAAGATGCTACATTGCTGGCTTTGAGGATGGAGGAAGAAGCCATGAGCCAAGGAAGGCAGGTGGCCTCTAGAAGCTTGAAGAGGTAAGAAAATGAATCTCCTCCTAAAGCCTCCAGAAGGAATGCCAAGGACTTCTGACTTCCAGAACCACAAAATAATTAATTTGTTTTAACCCACTAAATTTGGGATGATTTGTTTCAGCAACCATAGAAAACTGATACAGGGAGTTTACAGGTCTAGTCAAAGAGAGAAGATGGCAGAAGCAACTTTGATATAATTCAGGAAGTGACTGATATAACATAGAAATACAAATAATAGCTATGAAAATGCTGATAAAGTACTTCTGGCTGGAGAGATTAGGGAGGCTGCCGGAAGGATGGAGGTTCTGCTGGGCCCTGAAGGATTGGGTGAGATTTCAGTTTAGCTTGTGAGAGATCCAGGAAACTGCAGGAGTAAAGGCATGGAGTTGGAAGCTACAGAATATAACAGAAATCTGCTCAGTTTTTGTGACCAGCCACTTTCTCAGAAATAAAAATTACTTGATTAGAATTTCACACATTCTACTCAGAATATAGTAGGTCTCTAAGTACATATATATATATATTTTCAAAAAGAACCTATAATAACAGTAAATAACTATATTATATGTAAATAACCACCTGATGAATTTAAATACAGAATACAGATCTTGGGCAAGAACCCCTCTCTGCATCGAACATGTCATAGCCAAGGGTGAACCTGGCTCATTTTCAGACAGCAGGCTTGGTAGGGATGAACACAAAAAAGAATAAAGGGCCAATAAAAGTAAATGCAAAGGCAACTCTTTAAAGGGCATCTACTAATATTTACAAATTAGGGACTTACTACAACCTTTGTACGCAAGCTAAACTAAACACTGGAATCCAACTGAACTGAACATACCTAGCAGACTGAAGGCCCTCAGGACTCATACCGATGAAGAAGACATTGGATTCCAGTCTCTCTTTGGTAGCTTTTGGTTGTTTCGTTGGTCTGAAGTTGGAGCCCACGATCTCAAATAATCTTGAATGGCTCTAATTTAGCCTAAGTTTACTCATGAGGCAAATACCTGATAAAGCACATTTTTAAGCCACTCTGTTTTACAAGTTGGGAAGTAAATAATGGGACTGTCCAGATTGTTGGTCTGTATTATTACCAAGGTCACCATCAGTCATCCTCTTGGCCTGACAGGAAGGCAATGTCTTCCCAGGATGTACATGTACTCACATGCCTCAGTCATACTTGCCTCCTTCTTTATCTTCTGGTAAAATGGATTCCTTCTGGAGCTGTTCACCTTCGTCCCAGAAGAATTCAGAGGAACAGCTAATCTCCATAGGCCTGCTCCTGTAAGAATGGCCTGGAGCTTCTGCAGAAGGGTCCACATTCATACTAGAGGCCTCTGAGTCCTGGGGTGGAGCTGCATACTTTGGAAGCCAAAATCCTTCACAAGAAGAACTGGGCCTATCACAAGTGTCCTCATTTCTCCTACTCCCCGCCTTTGTCTCGAAGCCCAGAAATGTAACCTCAGACTGGCTGCATTCAAAGGGAATTTTCTGAGTCATTTTCTTTTCTCTCAAATGTTTGTCATGAAGCAGTGAATGATTACTCTGTCTTTCATCATCTTCCACTGGAATACTTGGTACGTTGTCCAAGAACAGAGGAGAAGGACACCTGAAGGACTTGAGTGATGTGGGAGGATCTTCAGCAAAATATAAGCAGGCTTGAGTACTTTCAAGAGTAGTCAGAACCTAATTAACCAAGAAGCAAACATCCAGTTAAGTTGAATAACCTTTCCTTTTTTACCTTTTTCCTGTCTATCTATTAAGGACATGATCTTCTTTTCATGAAATCAGTTTTACTATAGAATTTTGAATGAGAAGGTATTAGAGATTAGCTAAATCCTTCATTTTAATAACTAAATTAAGTGACTTGAAGTAAAGCATAAAAAAACTGCATTAAATTGAATATCAAGAGACTTGACCCAAGGCCTAGATTTGCCACCACTACTTTGTGACCTTGGGTGAATTTCTTATCATTTTTTTACTTCAACCTTAATATATGGAGAATTGGAAGGGTTTGGGATACAATGAACCCAATCTATAGTTCTCGAATGCCAGATTTACAAAGAAGAGCATTCTTAAAATACAGATCCCTTACTCCCACCCTAAAGGCTGCCATTCAAAAAATAAGGAGATGGGAGACCAGGAATCTGTATTTTTAATGCCTCTCAGTTTATTTGGATGTGCAGCCCAAATTCAGAACCACTGACCTGATATAAAATAACATACAACAAACCTTCTCACACATATGTAATTTAAAAGAATACAGATAGAGAGCTTTACAATTTACAAAGTGTTTTGTACACATCACTCCACTTAATCTGCACAAACAACACTATTATTTGCACTTTATAGATATAACAGCGCTGAGTCTCAAAAAAGGGAATCGATCAGTATCACTAGTCAGTAAGGAGCAGACCTGCTGCTGCTCGACCCCAGGTCTCTGGCTCCCAATCCCATGTTCCCTCCACTGTAGACCTCACAGCTCCTCCTGGGCCCATGACTCCAGGCCCCATGGCCCTTCCTGGAGTGGCAGGCTTAGAACACAGTTCTCCTGGCTCCCAGCTCAGGGCTTCTTATATTCTGACGATGTCCACTCCTTGCTTAAAACCCTTCCATTATGCTACGATAGACTCAGGATAAAACTCAAACTCCTAGAATGGAATTCATGTCCCTCTACCACCTGGAAGTGGTTATAATAAACCTTCACCACCATCCCATTTCCATGAACCACCCAGAACTACCTGTGGTCTCAGCAACATGAAATCCATCCGCTCTGAGCCTCCACAGGTGTATGTTCTCTCTGCCAAGGAAGTCCTTCCATCCGAAGGCTACCTAAACCCACGCTGCTTTTCAGGTCATAGCTCAGCTGTCAGCTCCAGGAAGGAGCTTCCTTGACTCCCTCTGCTAGACTGTATTCTAGCTGTGCTCCCACCCGCCATTATGTCCATGTTTACTGATGGACTGCGGGCTTGAGGGCAGAAACCATAGCTTGATCACTGTTGGATCCCCAGTACCCAGCACAAAGACTGGCACATGCAAATTAGGCACTAAATAAATTGTTTATTGAACACAAATACTAAATGAGTGGATGATTAAATCAATTGGGCAGATGAATACATAAAAAAAAACAAAAAGAAAAATACATACTAAATTTTTATTGGGCAGATCTCTTAAGAAAGTTTAAATAAAATATTCTCTCCAAAGTACTCACTATGTCTCTTCATTAAAATTTTTGCAGGTCCCTGGTTCCACCCAATAACGACCTCTACCACAGTATCAAGTGATACTACTCTTTGACCTGGAAAAGCTATGTACTCAATTAGAATTCTCTTTCAGGGCTAGATTTGTCTCATTGATAAAGGATTAACTTAGATACACAATTTCTCCCATTTAGATTTTCCATGGCTCTACGGCCTTAGTTTTTAATAAAACTGTGTGTATACGTACCTCATCCATTGATGGTCTTAGTTTTGCCCGTGTTGCAGCACACTGGGTTGCCAGAGAGAAGAGCTTGGCAGAAAAATTTCGAGGACAGGGGGAAACTTTCTTATCTAGAAGTGAGAGGCATGAATCGAGTCCTCTCTTTTCCATCAGTTCCATAAGGAGGTCCCTCTGAGAAGAGAAGAAGACAACCTCATTTAGAACTCTATTAGAAAAAAGACCTAGGTACAAAGAGGAAGACAATTCTTACCAGCTGAATATGCTTTGGTTCATCTAACACCATTTTACAACCTGTCAGAACTTCCATTATTACCTACAAAGGATGTACAGAAAGTTAAATATATATACATAATTAGTCACGACTATTAACCTTAGCAATGAGTATTGTTCATTCCAATTAATATATTTATATTTTATTGCTGATTGATTACACAAAATTAATGTATAAGACAATGAGTAACAGGAAATCATAAATCTGAAAGTGATTGCCTTTTTTAAAAATTGAATTTATCAGGGTGGCAACTGGCTAATAAAACCACATGGATTTCAAGGGTATGACTCAATTTAGAGTCTCCCCAGCACTTACGATTCCAAAGCTGTAGATATCTGTTTTAGTGGAGAGTTTGCCCTGTCTGATACACTCCTCTGGCAGGTACCACAGGTGTTTGCCACTGCTGCTGGTCACGCTCGTCACAGAGCTCTGGTGCTCCAGGTGGGGTCGGAAGTGAGCCTTGGCAAAGCCCGTCAGTCTGGGTTGAAACTGATCATCTAAAAGTATGTTTGCACTAAAATTATGAGCAAGGACAAAGGCAAACAAGAAACAAGGCAAAGACATTAAAAATACATTTTGGTGAAACATAACATGACAAGCTCACCTTTAGTTAATTACAAACATGGACAAATTAAAACCATCCATAATTTTCTATGAAATCGAGGACATGTGCTCAATTTTCTTAAAGTAGAAATCCAAGTGTTATATAAAACCTAAAACAAAATCCTCACTTAGAACAGTGGGCATTAGGAATTTACAGCTACATATGTGGAGCTGGTGGATAAGGCTGATGCTTTGTCAACAGGAGACACTGAAGTGAACCAAAGCAGATTTCCTTGTGCTCTGCTTACTGATGAGAATGTCACCTGGGTTTTAACCAGATAACGATGGTCTGTGACGTGCATGGAGCTCTGCTGTGGAATGCTCTGCCTGGAGCCACTCTCCCATGATGGTGTGAGGAATCTTTAGCAGCTCCTGCCTTAGGGATAACCCTACTCCATTGTCTCATTATCCATGGCTTTTTTCATGTTGAGTCTTTTTTAAAATTAATTTTAGAGAAAGAGGAAAGAAGAGAGAAAGAGAAACATTGATTTGCTGTTCCACTTATTTGTGCATTCATTGGTTGCTTCTTGTATGTGCCCTGACCAGGGATTGAACCCACAACCTTCGCATGTCAGGACGACATTCTAACCAAATGTACTACCTGGCCAGGGCCTTGTCTTTGAGTCCTATTTTAAAATATAACCATCTATAGAGGCAAAGGCAAAGTGCTTGGAGTCATTTTTAGCTGTTCATCAGTCGCATAAAAACCCCAATAATTACTTAACATCTTGGCTGAGAGTAAGCATTAGCTTACCTGACTGGTGAGGGGCTGCCACAGCGGGGATGGGAAAGATAAGCCAAGGGGGAGGCGCATTTCGTTTGGCCCGCACCTGGCTCTGGGACTGCCGGTGGGTTACTTCACCCTGTAAACCTCAGTATGGTCTTTCCTCACAAGTGAAATAAGGAAAACAACAGAACTCACAGAAGGCATATGGGGCATATAAATAGCCTACCGTCTGGCATATGGTAATGCTCAGTAAATGGTAGCTAAGATGAAGGTCAGCTATTGCTCCCAAGAGAGAAGATGGATATAGATAAGAAGAGGTGGGTGGGATAAGAGAAAGTTACCTACTTTTCAGCTTTGTTTAGGGCTCTTTGGAGCTTGATTTTGTCCCCTGCAGCCAAAGCTACTAATAAAAGACCTGCCCACCCAAATCGCCATATAGTACATTTGGAGTACTACACACTCTTATTAAAAGTGCTAATAGGTACAGGGTAAAAATAAGAAATTCTTAATCCTGAGCAAGTATCAGACCTTATGAAAGTTCCAGGAGCCATTTCTGTCCCTGTGTAAGTAGACTGACAGGCGCACCCTAGCTCCACAGGCCTGAACTACAGGCATTATTATGATTCAGAATACTCAGAGTCCTGGTTCTATTTAGAGGGTGTAAAACTAAGGCCTCAAAAATTCTAAAGCAGACTTTGTCCAGGACTGAGCTGACAACAGACAAAATGATGGGGTTTCCAGGACCAGAAAGACATGCCTTAAACTCGCAGAATCGCAAAATCCAAAGAGCCCACCTTCTGCATGAGCCCCAAAGCCTTGACCTGTTGTGTGATCCTTGCATTTATGAGGAGAAAATCAGGGATGAGACTTGCATCATAAGCACAGTCCTCATTTTTCTCCTTGTCTTGTCTTTTCACCCCAGATTACTTCAAACCCGGCAGCTTCTAAGACCAGCCTAGGTCCCACACACCCATGTCACTCCTCAACCATTCTTTGTTTTCCTCACTTGGAAACAGCATTACCTACCCCGACATGCTTCTGAAGATGAGGAATATACTAGAGCCAGATCATACCTTCTCTCTGGCTCTTGGTGAGAACAGACATTTAGTCCATAATTACTTCTTCCACAGGTGTACACTTCACTAGTTCAGATCAAGAATAGGGCTTCTGGAGATGCTCTGATCATTTCTGACTGCCAGGGTATTTAATGCAGGAGTTTGCCAAGTGTGCCAGGAGGTGAGGTGGCAGAGAGGTTCATTAACTCTCATTTGGTTGGTCCCAGGACCAACCCTCTGCCCCTCCAGCCTCGGCCGCACGCAGAGCCTGGCTCTCTTCTGCATCCTGCCCCACTTCATTTCAGCCTGGAGGAGGACAGTGAAGCTGGGACTGCCAGGTTTTTGTTGTCAAACATCTGGCCCTCTCCTTCCTCCACCCCAGCTCTAAAGAAGGTACAAAAATCACAACTTAAAATGCAAGAACCAGGAGAATACAAAAATTTGAATCTGTGGAACACTTAGACTCCCTGAAGTATAGGGCTTTTCTAAGCAGAAAAGAAAAAAATGACAACAACAACAACAACCACAATCTAATCTATTTATTTGACCCTCAGCAAAACTGGCAGGAAGCTTCCAGCAGTTGGTGAATCACATTTCTGTAAGAGTTGAGCTGTGACCACAAGGTGTTACACAATAAAACCCAACAAAGGACTTCAGGTCTGCAAGAAGCCATCAATAAGAATGTGAAATTGTTCTAGGGTACTGCTTTCATACTTTGAATAATGACATTTGGTGAAAAGACAAGTTGTTTACCAGCCGACATTAGTGTATAACATAAATTTTGAGTCCAGTGATTTACTCTGTTCGAAATAAAGGTTAATGGTAGCCAAGGAAGAAGGATGTTCTGTTTCAGGACAGTGGGAATTGCAAAAGGCCCATGAACAATCAATTCTGCCCTAATTCTCCCCCCTGTTTCAACCTTAAATAGAATGTTCTAACATGAAGTACCTTCAGCTACCATGTAGGTCAACTGAATACGTTTATTCTATAGGGCTGAAAACAGATTACCAAAATGAAAACAACATAGATAGCTAAAGTCATGCAACAGTATAATGCAATAAGAGGGCAGTTTGCTAGCTAGCTATTGTGGTTACCAAAGACACAGATGAGAAGGATCCAATGGCCCACACACCTAATTTAGTGTTTCTACATCCTATTTCTTTTTTTTTAATGTTTCCAATTTTATTTTTTTTTAAGATTTTATTTATTCTCAGGCAGGGGAAGGGAGGGAGAAAGCGAAAGAAACACCAATGTGTGGTTGTCTCTTGCATACCCACCACCAGGAACCTGGCCTGAAAACCCAGGCATGTGCCCTGACTGGGAATTGAACTGGTGACCCTTTGGCTCGCAAGTCGGTGCTCAATCTGCTGAGCCACACCAACCAGGGCATACATCCTATTTCTTCTAGTCTTTCCCACAAGACTACTTACTATAGCAGAGAAACCTCTTTAGATAATTCTTCTAGCAGAAGGATCAGTGGTAGGATCACTAACTGGACAGGGAAAATCCTGTACAAGGTGGTGATCTTATCCTCTTATCCTGCCTGGGAATATTATTGTATTAAGTCTCCCCCTTGGTAAGGATCCTAAGACAATTCTTTTGAGGGAACTGAATCTCCCAAAGGCTACAAGAACTGCTTTCTTTGCTTGCCAATTTGTCTCCAAATTTAGTTGAAGTCTGTGGGCCTTAAATATAAAGCAAGATGACACACCTAGACTATGATGCAGGATTTAAACTTAAGTGCACATACCATGTTTGACATAGAAGTGCATGATTGGTTTTTGCAGATATGTTTATTTTTATAGGGTTTAAGGGGGAGTTTTTGGTGCCCAGTAGCCCAGTCCCTGTGTGCCTGGCAACTCTCAGGAAAAGTCCAGACTCCACCCAACTGGCCCCAGAGATGAATAGGACTGTAGAGGCCTCTCACTGACAGCCTGAGGCAACAGGACACCCTGCTGTCTGTGTTACTGCTGTTGCAACATCAAGATCCCCCTCACCAGATGAGGCAAGGCCCAGTTTCTCTGGGAACCTGCAGATTACTGGGAAAGGGCATGCACCCACTCCCGCACTGCAGAATGCAGGCATCTGGTCTAAAATGGTATGAGCCTGAGGCCCTTACTCCCTCCTTGGGTGATGCAGCTTTCTCTCTCCTATTGTACCCAGGCAGGACTCAGAGATAGGACTAAAACTTGTTTTGCTTTAATGGCTACCTTACGGCTCTCTGTGTAAAGGCCCAGTCAATACAGGGTACTCCTCCTGTACTTGGTGAAATTTCATCTTCAACCAAACTAGCACAACTTCCCTAAGCCTCAGTTTCCATGTCAACAAACAGATCTGGCAAAGTTTAACTCACAAGGCTGTTATAGAGATTAAGTGAGAAAACGTAAGCGGAGTGCCTGATATACAGGGAAGGCCTAGAAATGTGCTCTGAAGGATGTAGGCCAGCCATTGTTCACTCCACACATAACACCTTACCTCAGAGTCCCAGGGAATTTGGCTGGCTATCACTAGAAGTTCAAGGACAGCAACTTGAAATAACAAAGGTAAGGGGGTTGACCCTGGAGCTCTGAGGGCCCTTGGGTTAACTAGTTTCAAGGCAGTGGCTGTGTTTCAAAAGAGTTCCAGAAAAGTTCTGAAAGAACCTGACTAAATTAACATTTCCAGGCATTTTAAGACCATGGAAAGTAAAAATATATAGCTATTAGTTTGTACATATGTGTGCATACATATATGGATCCAGGTGTATTAATCAATGAATGTTGGCATTTGGAGTCAGTGATGGTAAATAGAATAGGGGAAATTTTAACTTATGTAATATGTCATTCTTTTTGCATCTCTTAGGGGGGGAAATGAGCATATTTAGATATCTTAGAAGAGAGCAGGCACTAAGGGAATAATAGGACAGTCTGAGGAAAAAAAGTTTATATCTAAAATGTTTCTGAAAAACAAACATAAATTTTCGTGGGGGGAGAGGGAAAGGGAGGAAACTGGTTAATTAAACTGTCAGTCGAACAAACACATTCGGCATTTCCCCGCAGGCTTTGCCGTTCTCACTAAACCCTGAGTTGGAGCCTAGTCTCACCACATGCGTCAGCTCTGGGAGTAAAGAGGCATGGGTCCTCAGGCAAG